GATGTCATCCACCAACTATCTGTAGACATGATGGGATGTCATCCACCAACTATCTGTAGACATGATGGGATGTCATCCACCAACTATCTGTAGACATGATGGGATGTCATCCACCAACTATCTGTAGACATGATGTGATGTTGTTGTTTGCATTGTTTTCGGGGGGGGGGGTCGTCAATAATATTGAATTATGACATAGACATATTGTATTTAATCTGTTATGTGTGTGGACAAAAAAATATTAAATAGGATAATTTGTATTGGGAGGTTCAAGTGACCATGATGATCAAAGGAAATAGTGTGCTATAACGGAACAGGTGGGTTAAGGTAAGTGATACACATAGAAGGATGATACACATAGAGGGATGATACACATAGGTGGATGATACACATAGAGGGATGATTCACAATCCCATACTGAGTGTCAGGGTGAGACGTGAAGGTGCATTGTCCTTGACCTACCTGAAAGACACGAGCACTCGTAGCTGTAAGGTCCCGTCCTGTTGCACGTCCCGTTGTTCTGACACGGCGAGGGCAGACATGGAATGTAGTTGTCGTCACAGTGGGTCCCCGTGTACTCAGGGGTACAGACACACCTGGCAGAGAGGACACAGGGAAATTCAAAGTCAAAGCTAGTGGGGGCTCATATTTTATAAATCTCCATTTTGTATTAAAATGACTACCGGGAGACCCTACCAGGGTCCATAAGTCGTCCTAGCCTCTCAATGGCCATGAGTTGAGAGACGGTGGCATTAGAGTAGTTTAGAAGCCAGTCTTCCGGCAAAGTATATTTGCAGCAATAGCATTCACTCATGGTAGCTTCCGACAAAACATACATTACAGCAACTGAACTCATTCATAGCTTCAGACAAAGTATATTTACAGCAACTGTACTCACTCATAGCTTCCAAACTTGTTGATACATTTCCCGCCATTTCTGCAAATGTGGGGATCCTGGGCACACTCGTCCACGTCGTCCATGCAGGTGACGCCCCTGTAGCCTGCCTTACAAGCGCACTCGAAGCCACTCTCGATGGGCGTGCAGGTGCCGCCATTTCTGCAAGGCATTGAGGCGCAGTGGTCCTCTTGGGCACACAAGGGACCTGGTGTGGACGAAATGATACATTTAAATATCTGAGGTCTTTTGGTGGTTTGTGGTCATTTGGTGGCCTGGGGTCAATTGGTGGTTTGTGGTCATTTTGTTGGTTTGAGGTCATCTGGTGGTTTGTAGTCATTTTGATGGTTTGAGGTCATCTGGTGGTTTATGGTCATTTTGGTATGGGGTTATTTGGTGGTATGGGGTCATTTGGTGGTATGGGGTCATTTGGTGGTATGGGGTCATTTGGTGGTATGGGGTCATTTGGTGGTATGGGGTCATTTGGTGGTATGGGGTCATTTGGTGATATGGGGTCATTTGGTGGTATGGGGTCATTTGGTGGTATGGGGTCATTTGGTGATATGGGGTCATTTGGTGGTATGGGGTCATTTGGTGGTTTGTGGTCATTTGGTGATTTAGGGGTCAGTCTATTTTATTTCAGTCATTAACTACATCAGGATGTTCAAGTATCACATAAGCATGCACTGAGTATAAATATCACATTACTTATCAACATAATGAACATGACTTACTTAATCATGGTTTGCAGAGACATTGTGTACAGAGACATTGTGTACAGAGACATTGTGCTCAGAGACATTGTGCCCAGAGACATTGTATGCAGAGACATTGTGCACAGAGACATTGTGTAAATCTCCCCAACCCCCACCCACCTTTAAAAACAAAACATGCTATGAATTTGTTAATAGATTCTTGCAACTAGATCGTTGAAATGCAAACTTTTCCAACACTGACCTCTCTATCCTATCATGAACACTAATACTGACCTCTCTATCCTATCATGAACACTAATACTGACCTCTCTATCCTATCATGAACACTAATACTGACCTCTGTATCCTATCATGCACACTAACACTGACCTCTCTATCCTATCATGCACACTAACACTGACCTCTCTATCCTATCATGCACACTAACACTGACCTCTGTATCCTATCATGCACACTAACATTGACCTCTCTATCCTATCAACACACTAACACTGACCTCTCTATCCTATCAACACACTAACACTGACCTCTCTATCCTATCATGCACACTCATACTGACCTCTGCATCATATCATGCACACTAACATTGACCTCTGTATCTTGTCATGCACACTAACACTGACCTCTGTATCCTATCATGCACACTAACACTGACCTCTGTATCCTAACATGCACACTAACACTGACCTCTCTTTCCTATCATGCACACTAACACTGACCTCTCTATCCTAGCATCTACACTAAACACTGACCTCTGTATCCTATCATGCACACTAATACTGACCTCTGTATCCTATCATGCACACTAACACTGACCTCTGTATCCTAGCATCTACACTAAACACTGACCTCTGTATCCTATCATGCACTTGCAGGTAAAGTTGGACAGTGTGTTCTTGATGAGACACTTGCCTCCATTGAGACAAGGGTTCTTGTAGCATGCACTTCTCTCATCAATCAGGTCACAGATCTTGCCGATAAATCCTGCAATAAAATCAGTCGACATATTTCATTTTAGAGCTCACCAGACATGCGCAATAATTACCGGACATGCGCAATAATTACCGGACATGCACAATAATTACCTGACATGCGCAATAATTACCGGACATGTGCAATAACTAACGGGCATGTGCAATAATTACCGGACATGTGCAATAACTAACGGGCATGCGCAATAATTACCGGACATGTGCAATAATTACCGGACATGTGCAATAATTACTGGATATGCGCAATAATTAACGGACATTTACAATAATTACCGGACAGGTGTAACAAATGTTCCTTTCATCCCAACAACTCTATGTCTCTCCGTGCGACACCCGCCCTCCACCTAGGCTGCTGCCCCCCCCCCCCCCCCCCCC